CAAGATGGAGAATACATCCAATTCAATGGCTAATAAGATATCATTTAGGACTACATGAGAAACTGAAAGCTATGACCTAAAGCGTTAACTGCCAGGTTCTCACATTAGCTAATGAGGGTCCCATCAATAATTGTAACATGTATACAGCCACCACCAAACTGCAAGAAAATAGGGACAACATTTCTCAAATCTTAGATTATCCATACTGAAATAATAAAGAGGAGCACTAGGGGCACACCTTGGGACACACTCCCAACCACACCCCCTCACCTGCTACAGTACAGGATGGTCCCACTTGAGATTTTTTAAAAAATCTCAAGTGGGACCCCCTGCACTGTAGCAGGTGAGGGGGTGTGGTTGGGAGTGTGTCCCAAGGTGTGCCCCTAGCGTTTTTTAATAATAAAAGGCAACTAGCATGTGATTGCTGTATATGAATGATTGCTCATAAAAAACAAATCAAACGTCTTGTTCATACATCTCTTAAGCAAGGTGCCAGACATGTAAGTTGGCATAGTTGCTGTTCAAGTTATTTATTTACATGTGATAAAAATTCTTTGGTTGTAAGAAAATGCAAATAACTAAAAATATCACTAAACAGAACCGCTGTGTAGGAAAAACAAAAAAGAACTACAAATTAATGATTAAAAATAAAAGAAAGAGAAGAACTATCAAATGGTTCCTGTCCAATATTTTTCTGTTATACTCTGATCCGTAGGTCCTTTGTTATCACTTCACATACAATAAGAGTTAGTCAGTTAGCCATACAAAAACATAAATAAATAAATAATTCAAATTAGAATCATCCTCACAAGTAAGAAAATTCCAAAATGATATTGGTAACAAAAAAATCCCAAATAAACTCCCAAAGGAATAAACTTGCACAATACCTCCGAAATAGAAGAGCAAAGGATACAACAACCAAATGTAGATGAAGCATCAGTAATATTCAAGGAGAACACAAGAGAACCCTAACTGAAGAATTTTTTTTAATGAGATTCAGATTTATGCTTAACCCCAAAAAGCACATTAACCTAATCACAATCTATGATCACCCCTAAAATCGAGATCCAAATCCAACATAATATATAACATCAAATCAGCTAAAATCTAAAGGCAAAATGCAATGGACACCAGTAGAAAACAGCGGACGACGGGCGACCCGGGGGGGGGGGGGGGGCAATGCGGCGTGTAGGTGCTGCGGCATGCTGTGGCGAGGGGGTTGGTGCGTACGGGCGTAGGCGTGCAGGTGTGCGGCTTGTTAGGGATTTTGGAGATTAATCTGCGGAATTAAACACTAAACGAATAACGACATCAATAAAAATACCACTAGCAAGCAAACACCAAGATTTAACGTGGTTAAACAAATCGTGTCTACGTCCACAGGGCAATCCAGATAGAAATATTTCACTGTAAATCAAGAGTACAATCCCTCCAAGTTACACTTGAACTTGAAGATTAAATCACAAGAGAAAAATGCAGTGTTACCTCTAGGACACTAAAACCCTAAAACCCGTCTCACCAAAAATATCCAACACCCGCGAAGAAACCAGCACCGTACCCTCGACGGCGTCGTCATTCTGAAGATAAGGGTTTTTGAATCACTATAATCGAATAACCGAGTTATTGTTCACCAATTACTGTAGCGGTTATTGTTCAACGAAATTTATTACAGGGCTCTCATATATAGAATTCTCAAAACTTATTCCTATTATAAATAGATCATCAAAATCCTCTTCTAGATAGAGTTTTAATTTTTGTGAACTTCATGTGGGTCTTATCTTGGGCTGGACCCACAATAATCTCCCCCTCCGACCCAACGAGAGGGTATGCTAATCTGTAACTCCTCAATGGAAGTTCATGCCGGCCAATCGCTGACAAAACTCGGCCTTCTCTCTGGAAACAGTCTTCGTTTAAAAAATCTGTTGGATTTTTATCTGTGTGAATTTTTTTGTAGCTTTAACTCCTCTTTCTCAACGACTTCTCTAAGCCAATAATATCTCACATCAATGTGTTTCGTCCTGGAGTGGAATGTAGAATTCTTGCTCAAATTAGGAGCATTTTGACTATCAATGAAGATTTGATAATTGTCCTGCTGCAAGCCTAACTCCTGCAGAAATCTTCTCAATCAAATCATCTCCTTAATTACCGGCTTCAATAGTTGATATATATTCCACCTCTGTTGTAAATAAAGCAACATACTTCTATAACCTAGACTGCCAAGATACTGCTCCCCTATAAAAGTGAACAACCAACCTGAGGTAGACTTCCTGTGATTGAGATCACCTGCCATATCTACATCTGCAAAGCCATATAATACAACATTCGAACCTCCAAAACTCAAACACAATCTGGAACTGCCTTTCAAATATTTTAAGATTCACTTTACACCTTCCTAATGAACTTTCCTTGGATTAGAAAGAAACATGCTCACAATGCCAACTGTATGAGCTATATCTGACTGAGTGCAAACCATGACATACATTAAACTCCCTACAGCTGAAGAGTAATGAATATTCTCCATCTTACTCTTTTCCTCATCTGTAGTCGGGCAAAACTTTTTGCTAAGCTTCAAATGACCTGCAAAGAGGAGTACTGACTGACTTGGCATCTTTTATGTTGAATCTGTCAAGTAGCCGTTTAACATATTTCTTTTGTGATAACCACAACTTTCTGGCTTTTCTGTCACGAGCAATATCCATACCAAGAATCTGTTGTGTCGATCCCAAATCATTCATGTCAAAAAATTTAAATAACTCCTTTAGCCCACCGATTATCTGACTACCCTGACTAACAATCAACATGTCGTCTACATAAAGCAAAAGATTAATAAAGCTAGAATCTCAAAATCTTCTAAAATATACACACAAATTTACAACTGTCCTCTGGTAGCTATGACTCAATATGAAAGAATCAAATTTCTTATACCACTGTCTGGGTACCTGCTTCAAACCATAGAGGCTCTTCTTTAACCTGCAAACCATGTGTTCTTTTCCCTTTACTTCAAAACCCTTCGGCTGCTCCATGTAGATATCTTCCTCCAAATCACCATGAAGGAATACAGTCTTCACATCAAGCTGTTCAATCTCGAAGTCTAAACTAGCTGCTAACCCCAAGATAACTTTAATGGACGTCATCTTCACAATCGGTGAAAAAATCTCATCAAAATCAATGCTCTTTTTCTGTCCAAATCTTTTACCAATAATCTGGCTTTATATTTCTGATTATAGTCATTCTTCTTTAACTTGAACACTCACTTGTTCTTTATAGCTTTTCTATCCTTCGGCGAATCCACCAACTTATAAGTATCGTTCTTCTCAAGAGACTTCATCTCTTCCTTCATAGCTTAGAACTATTTGTCCTTATTTTTATGAGTATGTGCCTCCTGAAAGCTTTCTGACTCTCACTCTTCTGTCAGCAAAGAATACTCCAAAAAAGGATATCTCATGGATGGTCGATGCTCTCTAGCTGATCTCTTAAGTTGTGGCTCTGCAAACTCCTGCTGCTCGTGATGCTCCCCTTGCTTAGGAGCTTCTTGCTTGTGATCATGATCACCATCTCTCTGCTCTGGTATCTGACCATCATCATCAACATCATCATCATGCACCTGCTCTATATCTGTAGGATGCAACTGTACTGAAGATGAAATGGGCGTCATATCTGGAATCTCACTAGCAACACTCTGACTGCTCTGTTCTCTCGAGATCTGTAATAGTCTGATCCTCCTGAAAAATTACATCTGCTCGTCTGATAATTCATCTCTTTTCTGGATCCCATAGTTTGTAACCGAACATATCTTCTCCATAACCAAGGAAGATGCAAGAAACCGCTCTATCATCAAGCTTCTATCTCTTCTCATTCGAAATGTGTGCAAACGCCTTGTGTAGGCTGTCTAAAAATCACAATGGATAGCTAATCCCTATCAAGCCCTGATAATGGGAGTTACAA